TATCCGCCCGCGTCGGGCAGTGTTGTACTGCCACCCTATCCGGGCGAGGGTGAAGTCCCACCGCCATCGGTTGTCCAGGCTAATATTAGCGTAATTAGTCAGCCAGCCACATCATCTACACCAGCATCCGTGCCGAGTGCCCCCGGTGCTCCAACAGGCGGTGTAACAAGTAAGTAACATTGTATTGGTAAATTGTAATTATTTTAATTTATTGATAGAGGTAATTAAAAAAAACTAATTTTATGCTAAATGATGTAACTAGGTTGCGGCGCCCGCACCAACATCGTTCAAAAGGACATCGAAATGCAAGAGAATTTGGGTTTCATCGTGGGCGGACAAGTGGCACAGGCCAACACCTGGCCGTGGGTTGTGGCCGTGTACTCGAGCGGCCGATTTATATGCGGCGCCTCCCTTATAGACAAACAGTACGTGTTGTGCGCCGCCCACTGTGTGTCCCACGGGGGCCGCATTACTCGTGCTGAACAGATCCAGGTGCAAATCGGAGCCCACGATCGACGCGGCTCCGGCCAGTACTATAAGGTGGATAAGATTGTGGTCCACTCGGGCTATAACGAGCGTATTATGCAAAATGATATATCCATGTTTAAGTTGGGCTCACCGGTTAGCTTTGGTAAAACCGCGGCCCCAGTATGCCTGCCACCCAATACGGCCAGTTGTCCCGATAGTACCAAGATGAACGCATACCTGGCCGGTTGGGGCACTACATCCGCTGGTGGCTCAACCAGTAATGAGCTCCGGGAGGTTACGGTACCCACTATACCGTTGAAGGACTGCCAACGTGCCTACGATTCAAATATGGTGACCAGCAAACAGATCTGCGCCGGATTTTTGGGACAGGGCGGTAAGGATACCTGTCAGGTATGTGTCATTTTAATTTTGGTGCAACTTGGTTTGTTTAGTAAACTTTTCTGCATATAAATAAACTAATTCTTAACATGTAGTGCTAAATGAGTACAAACTGTAATTATTCAATTAGGGTTCAAATATAGCGGTTAAGTAAATGATATAATGCTATATTTTTGGCTGACGGTGGGGTAATGATTATTTTATGGACAAATAATTTAATAATAATTTAATATCTGCCCTCGACAATTTACGTTTTAAGTGTTAAGTTTAATCTGAATTATTGTCAAATTTTATTACAAAATAAAAATAGATAGATTTAAGCTAAACAATATTTTATTAACATACACATGACGATTTGTTTAACAACATTAAACTATAAAATTTACTTTACCTTATATGTTCATCCAAAATTGCATTAATTGTTTTCATTATAATGTAACCAGGGTGATTCTGGAGGACCAATGGTGGTGAAACAGGATGCCAAAGTGAATCAGTACTATCAGTGCGGTATAGTGTCGTGGGGCAGGGGCTGTGCCGAAGCGAGTAAGTTACCTTGGTTTATTATTTATGTTATTATGATCATTATCATTAACTATTTAACTATTAATCACAATTTTTATATTAATGTAGGATATCCTGGCGTGTATACCAAAGTGTCTGAATATCTCGACTGGATTAAAGCGAATAAAGTTTAATATTTTTATATAATTAAACTAGATAGATTATGCTAAATTTGTAGTTGTTTATGTCATTTAACAAGTAGTATTGTTTGATTGAAATAATAAATGATAAATCAAAATTACCTTTGTAAATTATTCAAATATTTTTAAATAAAATTATAAACTGGATTACATTTTGTATGCAAAGTTAACCTTATATAATTAATATTATATAAAAATAAATTATTAAAATAAAAATACAACTCAGAAAGTTAAATCATCATAATATAAATATTAGAAAAATAAACTAAAATGATAAATTATTGACACTAATCTAATAATGTACATAAGTATTAATGTATTTTTTAATACTTTAAAACAAAAGTTATGTATGATGGTTGTTTTTTATTTTCGCAATTTGTTAAGGACTCGTGTACTATAAGTTAAATTGTTAATATAATGAATCTATTTATATGAACATTGTGATAACTATTAAACAAAGTTATAATTGAGAAATATAAAATTATACAAGATAATTTAGTTTAATCAGTTTTGCATAATTTATTTAAATCTCCTACGCCAATATAATTACTATTAATAGTTATAATTTACTAAAATAATATTTAAAATTATTATCTAGATTGCCAATTGCTGCCAGTATTTGCCAATTGTTATATAAAGCTCTATGTTAAATAAAGCAAGTGAATACATTTGAGATATGTTTACAGTTTTTCCCCTATAATATTATGGTATTAATTTAATTTTAACTTCTTAATAATACTAAATTATCTTAAATCTCTTTTATGGTTTATTTTTATCAACTAATCTCTAAATTAATGATTTAATAAAATAAAATAATTATATTAATCATATGTCATTTAAACGTAACTATTAATATTGTAATTTACACTAAAATGTTTAAAACAAAAGTTTACATTAGCTAAATAAATTATTTTCACAAAACACACGACTATGTAGACAAACCTTAAATAACATTATAGCATAAATATCCACAATATTGCCTTTTTTGAACAAGCACATTTTATTTTTTAAAAAGTTTAAAATTGTTGAAAATGTGCTAATTTAAATTTTATTAACTTTTTATATATACAGCTGATATGTATGTTAATCTATAGTGACGTGTGTGGCCTATAAATCAGTTAGAATTATATTTTTTAAATTAAGCTCAATAATTTTTCTCTCTTTTTTCGTCAAATAATTTACAATTAATATTTAATTTGAGTGATTATGATAAATTTAAATACGTATTTACTTAATATAGTAGTTTTAATTAATATAATAATTGTGATAAATGTGACAATAATTGCTCATGCTGATGATAGTAAAGACACTACGTTGCCGTCGGGTCAGTTCAAATACTTATTACTATTATTATTTAATAAATATTAACTAGGTAATGATTACATTACACATACATACCAACCAAATTACTAAATATACCACATCATATTTAAGTACTAAAATCACTAATTAACTATTAATTTGCCAACCTGATTTATTACAATAGTCGTAATCAAACTAATTACCTAGAGTGCGGACGCAAAGTACTAAAACCACTAATTAACTATTAATTTGCCAACCTGATTTATTACAATAGCCTTAATCAAAC